TCTCATTTCAAACATACTTGCACTTTAGTTTGTATCACCATGGCTGAATCTAATGTAAGTGGGGACCCGGAGGTAGATGTGGTACTTTGCTGCCTTCAGCATCTGCATCCTTCGGTCCGCACTGGTGTGCTAAATAGACTAGCAGATGATGTTGCAAATCAGCTGCAGCATCCCAATACGGCATATCGTGTTACTGGTACTGGTGCACCAGGTCTTGGGTTGTCCAATACTTATACTATTCCACCTACAATATATACCAGTCCTAGGGTGGCATTACCTGCTCACTCCCCTAGGCCGGTACCTCATTTGCTTAGTCATACGCCACCATCAAGGTCACCTATGCCCACAGGTTCTGAGAATCTGTTTCAGATTTCTCCGATGACAGTGAACCTTAGTCCTATGATGGACCTACCAGCTTCACTGCCTAGGCCTCATGGTTCAATTTACAACTTTGTTCAGCAACATCTACACCTTACCTGAATAGTTACCTATCACAACCTTCACACACACCGCATGAGTCTTGGCCTAGTCGCACTATTCCAACACCATATCCAGGCTATAATCCAACTACCTTTTATAGCTATAGTGTAGACTTGTCACACCCTTTCAGTCTACTTATATGTCCATCATCAATTCTCCCAGGCCACGGTTGTCATCATTTTCTGGGGATGGGACCAAGGGTGAGGTCAAGTATAAGCAATGGCATTTAGAGAATGTTGGGTGTCGTAGGGAGAATGCATTCTCGGACACTTCAATTCTAAATGCCATGTGGAGGTCCGCCAAGGGTTCAGCTGCTGACCTACTTAGTGGGCTTTCAGAAACTGTTACCCTTGACACTGCTATTGAGCAGTTGGACTTAGTGTTTGGCAATGTGATGCCTGGCGAGACGCTTATGGAGCGTTTTTACACTGCCCGCCAGGAAAAGAATGAGTCTGTCGCTGCGTGGAGTTGCCGCCTCCGGGATTTGATCTCCAAGATAGAGGCATCTGGCACTTTACCACACAATGCTGCGCCTAGCTTGCTTTGAAGCCGGTTTTGGATGGGTCTCACGCGTGATGACCTGAAGCAAGCGACGCGCCATCACTTTGATTCAGGTATGGACTATAACAAGTTGCTGCTTGCTGACCGTAGGGTTTAGGAGGAGCCACCCCTGGGGATGCACAATCATGCCAACTGACTACCAATACAACAAGCAATAGACAACTGGATGATGTGCTATCCCGCCTAAAGGAGATTGATAAGAACCTTAGGTCTGTAGGGGATAGGGTTAACACCCTCGAGTATAAATCTCGTAGGCCCTCAAATACAGCCTAGAATCAAGCCAATAAGGCCCAAACTCAGGCTCAGAGTCTACCCCCTAAGTCTACCACTACAAATGTAGTTACACAAGGTAGCACACCACGTACACCATATGCTTCTCAATCACAGTTAGCCTCGAAAACTGAGGTACACTGTTTTGATTGCGGGAAGATAGGGGTTAGGCGGCATCACCCACAGTGCCCCGCTTTAAACTCCTAGGAGTCAATGTGATGGGGCGAACATTGGACTCCGACATTAGCTCCAATTCTGGGTTGCCATCAAATTTGGCAGCCCATTCACCGTTAAGACCGACAACAACCCCCTCACTTACGTTTTAACATCAGCAAAATTGGATGCAACTGGACATCGTTGGCTCGCTGACCTTGCTGCTTACGACTTTTCTATAGAGTATGTACCAGGGGTAAGGAACAAGGATGCTGATACGTTGTCCAGGTTGCCACGTGAGGTCATGGATATCCAGTCTGTGTCTGCGGTTTGCAACAGTAAGCAGTCGTCTAGTGTTGTACAGACGCTCTCACTTTGTCATGAGGTATTGAACTGTGTTTTAGCGGTTGATGATTTCGAGTCTACCAATGTTGGGACTGATCAGCATATGCTTTCTTGTCAGCAGGCGGACCCCTCAATCTGCACGATTGTGGACCTTCTCCGTAAAGATCAGCGCCCTTCAAAGGAATCTCTTAGGTCATTTGATCGTGACACAGCTTCAATCCTCAGACAGCGGGATGCTCTCTCCATCACTAACAATCTCCTTTATAGGAAACAGAAGACTATAGAAGGTGATTATCCCTACTTTCAACTCATTGTCCCACAGCAGCAACGAGAATTCGTCATTACTCATCTTCATAACGGTATGGGGCATCTGGGTAGGGACAGGACTGTGGCTCTCCTACGGACAAGGTTTTATTGGCCAGGAATGATGGGGGATGTCGAGAACCACATTTGTAGCTGCCAGAGGTGCATTCTTCAGAAAGCCCCTAATCAGAATGAGCGTGCACCATTGGTCAACATTCAGACCACTCAACCAATGGAAATGGTATGTGTTGACTATCTCAGTCTGGAACCTTCATCTGGTGGTTACGAAAATGTTCTGGTCATTACTGACCACTTCACCAAGTATGCTGTTGCGAATCCAACTCGTAACCAAACAGCGCGAAGAACAGCGAAGGCCTTGTTTGAGCACTTTATCGTACACTATGGTCTCCCTGAAAGGTTAAATTCAGATCAGGGACGGAATTTCGAAAGTGACGTTATCAAACAAATGTGCAGCATACTTGGAATACAGAAAACAAGGACAACTCCCTATCACCCCATGGGGAACGGGTTATGTGAACGGTTTAACCGGACACTTCTTGGGATGCTCGGGGCTCTGCAGGATCAGGAAAAGGCACGTTGGAAGGTCCATGCCTATAACTGTACCTTGCACAAGTCTTCTGGGTTTACGCCCTATTTTCTCATGTTCGGCAGACATCCTAGACTGCCTGTTGATGTTGCCTTTGGCACGTCTCTCGCCAACACTTCATCGCCATCTTATACGCAGTTTGTTGCTGATTTGAAGCGCAAGATGACAACTGCGTATGAGCTCGCTTCTCAAAACACCGACAAGGCCCGGGCCAAACAGAGGAAGACTTATAATCTGAAGGCCCGTGGTGCTACTGTTAAGGTAGGTGATGCAATGTCAACATTCGTGGGAAACAGAAGCTTGCCGACCGATGGGAGGAAGATTTCCATGTGGTGGAATCACAGCCGAATTCTAATGTTCCCGTGTTTAAAGTCCGCAAGGAAGGCACCAGGGAGCATCGTGTACTTCACCGCAATTTACTCCTTCCCATTGGTTCGGATGGCCGTCCCATTCCTAAACCTCAGAGCCGTCCGCCTTCTCTAGGAGAATCTGCTGTACCTGGTGATACCTCTAACACCACTTTGTAGATTTCTACAATCGACTTGAATGTGGATATTCCTTTATCTCCAGTGCCTGGGGGTTCTCCATTCGGTCAGCCGGTTGAAACTCCTTCGTTTCCAAGGACACCACCAGCTCAATTATCTGGTGTTCCCTCTTCGACGACGCCATCTCTGATGTCGCCATCACTTGAGGTGCCTGGAGGAATTTCGACTTCCCCAGTGCCTTCCAGTCCTTCCACTTCTGTTGGTCCAGATTTATTTTCGGTCACCCCACCAGTGGTTACAAGACCTGGCAGGTCACGCCAGTGGATGACTGACGGTCAATGGGTGGTGAAACAGAACACGGTTTGGGTATAGTTCTCTATTTAGTCCATTGTATATATGTTCGAGCACATTTTATTGCTTTCTCAGGTTCATTTTTCTGCAACCTTTTATTATCCTGCTCCTTTCCTTGGCTGGTCGTCTGTTTTCAGCTGTGTATGGTGAGGGCACCATTTCCCAAAAGAGGGGTGCATGTAGCAGGGTACCTTTATCATATTCTTCCTAGTTATATCATTATTCATACAACATCATCATAATCATCTATATGTTCAATGTTTGTCTTGTCTACAGTTGAATATCAGTATATAACTCTTTAAACATCTCAACACCCTTATTTTTCAGTCTCTGGGAATCTCTCACCAGATCTTCCCCTTCAACATTCTGTCTATCTTTAGACATTTTTCACACCTGTAGGGTTTCCCTCGGTCTATTTATATCTTGCATTAAGCACTTCCTTTGATGCTTAATGCAATCTGTCTTCTAATTGGCCACCCTGGTCCTCTACAGGTAGCTTCCTTCCATACCTGACTTCCTCCTCACTTCATGTGCTGCTGTTGAGGAGGAAGGACATTTTCTTTTCTTCAGGTATGGAATGGCCACATTTCAATCTGTTTTCATCTGCTTCTGTCAGAAATTAATATCTATATTAGGGTGCTAAAATTAAATTACATAATATATATAATATCATTTAAAGTAATATTAAATTAATTGAATGGAATATTGATATCATAAAACTTGCTTGTAAAATAATTAACCACATGGTCCAGTTTGGCTCATGTGCTTTTCAAGTGTCCTATAGTGAACTTATAACAGTAATTTAACTTTAAAGTTAGTTTTATCATAGTTATAAAATGGCTTTTGTACTTATATATTTAAGATAAATAATACCTGTGAACTTGCAAATATATGACTTCATGTGCTGCTGTTGAGGAGGAAGGACATTTTCTTTTCTTCAGATAGTTCTTCAACAGCAGCCACCCCCTTGTAATAAACACATTATCATCATCTGCCTGTGTCTGTGTTTCCCAACGGCTCGAGCCGGATCATTACCACTACCCCGGCTACACTGACACACCTAGAACAAATTTGGGGCGACCCAGGATTTCGAGGGACGAAACTCTGCACAGCGAATAGAGTGCCTTAAACCACGAGGCCACAGTCATTTAGCATATGATCTTGGGATTTTTTGCGGTATCTGCTTCACATTAGCGCAGATGCTGCTGCTTTGTTTTTGAGAGATTCTGGCCACTGGTTGTTGAGTTATCTCTGGTGTAAACTATGGCGGAATGATAAATAACAATAAACAGGACGATTATAAGAGGTCTGTAAGACATGCTGACCTGAAGTCCTTAAACATCATTCACATTGCGCTACATTTCCACACCACACGAGGACATGCCCTAGATTTCCTACAATACTTTTCCTATAAATAAACAAAATGAAACTGGTTTTGCGACAAACCTCCTCTATGCATCATTGAAGACAGACTGCATGCCACACTTTCACTGTACGATTTTTACATCAAGCGCCGGGACTCAGACCAAGGGGGAAACGATTCCTTTCAACTCGATTCAGTGTTTCCCTTCTTACATCAAGGAAGCCTGCTTTGTCAAACAAGGGTTTGGCTTTTACGAAGTGGATTACCAAAACAAGCTAACCAACACGGATTAAGGTATGTTCGGCTTATTCATTTCGTATGTTACTTATTGGAAGTAGACCGCCTCCGTGGTCTAGTGGTAGAGCGGGATTTGATCCCCGGCCGCGTCCTACCAAAAGACGTTAAAAGATGGTACTTGTTGTTACCCTGTCTGGCGCTCGGCATTAAGGGGCTAAAACAAGGACTGGTCGGCCCGGAGTCAGTATACTGTGTCTGAGTGAGGTATTCATGTTAAACTGCGGCATGGTATCTCAGTGAGCTAGCACTATAAATCGGCATCAGTCCTGACTAGTACAAACCGACACACACACACACACACACACACACACACACACACACACACACACACACACACACACACACACACACACACACACACACACACACACACACACACACACGTGCATGCACGTCGCTATATAAGTGCAATAATCTTGGTCTAGACTCGATTATCTACAGACCGCTGGAATATTGCTGGGTGAAACATAACACACAAACAAACAATTGCGAGAGGTGAAGGGCACATTTGTGATACCTCAAGCATCACCGCCGACAACGAACAAACTCAAACTCAGTTGTTAGTCAAATGATATTCAAATATAAGAAATGCACACCCTATGTGTGCATTATACAGAAATCTAGGTTCTATAAGTGACACTGTATCTGATTGGAGCTCCGCAGCCAGTTTCAGTTATTACTGACATAAGCTATTTATTACTTTTGATTTTGACTAAATTTGTTTGACATATAGAGAATCTCACCCTCGTGTCTTTTGATATCAAATATATCAACACGAGTTGATAAAAGTGGAAAAATTCCGAGGCTTGCCGAGGATTTTTGCCACTCTTATCAACGAGTGTCGATATATTTGATATCAAAAGACACGAGGGTGAGATTTTATTTATCATCCAACATCATTCTTTCAACTTTTTCAATTTGTAGACAGTAATTAGCATTGTCTTCAGTGTAAAAAGTACTGCAAACAGCTTCAGTAGCAGAGCCATTAGTGATGTCATTTGATTGTGACGTCATGGTAACCAGTGACGTCACAATGGTCTGCAAAGCAGTGTGATGTAATTTCATTGCAGCGATATCTACAGTGTGAGCCAGTTTGGGATGATAAAAATTGATATTGGCCCAATTGTTTTCCTGTCATTTGGCTAGTAATTTAATACAAGAAATGAAAGCGACAAAACATTTCCATAATCATAAGAACTCTCTTTAGTCTAAAACATAACTCATTTCCTCCCACATTTTGAAAGCTAGGATAACCTGTATTCTTACATCCAGCTGCACAATATCATACCGTGAACATTATACATCACCCTACTGTTATACAGAATGCATTTTATGGTAATATGGGTGAGTGAGTGAGTGAGTGAGTGAGTTAGGTTTAACGCCGCTTTTAACAGTATTCCAGTTATATCACGGCGTTTCAGTTTAATGTTGGAGGAAACCCGAAGTGATGCAAGTCTCAGACGTTTACCACTTCGGTGAAACCCACGAGCACGGGTATGGTGCTGACAAACCTAGAAACATAATTGGGGCGAACCGGGATCCGAACCCACAATCATAGGTTTCTGGCGTGCCCAAGGGACGCAACTCTGCATAGCGAATTGCGGCGCCTTAAACGGCTGGGCCACCCGTGCCCCCTGGTAATATGGAAATATTATTCCCATCCACTTTGAAGGTTAACTATCACTGGACAAAATATCATCCATTCCAAAAAATCCAAAACTTGGAAATACCACCATTCCAATTGGAAATATGACCATTCCAATATTTGGAAAGGTCATATTTCCAAGCTTGGATTTGTTTGGATTTGTTTGGATTTGTTTGGAAATGTTAGGAAATATTTGGATACAACATGTCATAATCATATCTGTTAAACGTTGTACAACTTTTGACCTTATGTGAGATTAGTAATGACATGAAAGTAAATAATTAAGAGTATTTTGGCACTATGTTCCACGAAAAAGACCAAATCATGAGCAAATTTAACTAAAAGAAATTCTGTCATTTAAAGTGGCTACTCTTTATATCTAATTTCTTATCTTCCTTGCCTATAATCATATGACATTGACTTTGAACTTTGAACAATTAAACAAATATTTTTTTTTCCCATACCGACTTACGGTTGTCGTAGAACAAAGACCGTTTCGAGAATATAGAGGGCCTCATTATTATAATTTGAACTAATATACATATGTACATAATAGTACTAGGTATAAATGAATTTTGATAAGTGTTCGTACAAGAATATGAAATGCGAATTATCTCGGAATTATGCGCAACACATAGGGCTGAAAATTGTATAATTGTTCTGGAACTATCTGACTGTAATTCAAAACAGGGAACAATATTTCGTCAAATGAATTATTGAGCCAGGAATGCAACGATTTAAATGCTGAAAAAATGAATAAACATATCTGGAACAGAGTTGACTGTTCATGTGGACAATTATATGCTACGTCTATTTCCAATGAAGTTTATCACCCCATGTTATAGCATTTGTTTCATATAAAAGATAGAAACCAAATAAATGGGACAATTAGTTGTTATGAATTAGCTTTACTTCTGTGACATATCACACAACTAAATGTGAATATGTTTATCAAATAATCAATTACAGTAAGTAACCTAGTGTCCTTATTTATACACAATTTAATTACGTATTGGGGTACACTATATAATACACATATACACGGATTGATTTTTGTTGTTGACAATTTAATCATAACCCAAATCATACAAATCAAAGTGTGAAAGTAGTGACTAACTTTATGATCAAGGGTATAAATACTCAATTGTTTCTATTAATCCTAATAGTATAACAATAAACCCTGTGTATATACTGAGCATATTAAGATACATCCGGATCTACGACCGCAGCCATATAATCAATCAAGGAAAGTATATTAGATTGAATTACAAATGTGCTATCACTTAAACAAAATGTTCCGTTATCCACGTAAGCCTAAACCTGGGAGAAATAAAGTTGTGTTCTGTTCTGAAGACGCCGTCATGATTAGTTGGCGCCAGTCTAGACTGTCCAATCAACGTGAATATACAAACCGTGATGTTACTTGACCAGTTGATGACACCTGTCAAACTCAAAGTGCCCCTGGTCCTCCACCCACCATGTGTAATACTTTAGCGTACTTGATTGTTTAATTTGCAGTTATATCACTGTTAGGCTGAGTGATGAGAGAATACATTTTGTTGTTTTTGTAAATGATCGTTTCCATTTTCAACGTGGTAACCTTATAAGTGACTAACTGTTTTATCATGATGAAATGAAACATATTAAAATAATCAGAGGGACTGACGATCGCATTTTTCGCATAAATGTCATGCTCGCATTAATTTCATGATTTACTGAAGATAGATTTGAACATTTCTGAGCAACGATCATGTTTGGGTAAAGGAAGTAATCTTGTCTCCGCTTGCAATTGGATTCAGTTCCGAGATCGCAGCTTGACTGTTCGGTACGGCCGAAAGGCGGCATCCATGTTGTTCACGCTCCGCTGATCACGGGGCCTCATTTGTCTGTATTCTGCTTATGAGCCGGGATGCGCATGAAACACGGGTGTCAAAACGAATATATTTACCAATTATACGTACGGTCAATTAGCAAGTCCAAGAGACAATACCCTGGTTCTACCACCTTTAGGTGTAATTACGTCGCATGCCCCTGGTTCACGGTTCGTCTGATCTCCCGTCATAAAACCACGATGTTTATTTACCTGGAGCCTCCGACAGCGCCGACTTCCTGTGTACGTGTACACTACTGCCTAGAAGTCCATTCCCCTTACACGTACCCCAACCGCCACTCGTGTGCAACGCGTGACACACTCATTAGAGGGGGAACAAACTTTTGACCAAAGGAGGACCCGTCTTAAGCTGAACCTGGAGGTGGTAACAAGGAGAGAACATTTTGTTATCCTGACGAAAAATGATAATACACATGTATTTGCTAATGTCTCCTTTCTTTATGTGATTTTGTGGGAATAACATGAATACTGTTGTGTTTAAATAGATCTGTCTTGTTTTATACGACCATTGCTTCTAAATCCGATGGTGTTAAGATAATACATGGTCCTGGAACATGTTATTGCAATTAAAATGCTTTTATTGTGATTTGACATTAACCGTCTGTAGTACGACTTTCAGTGATAATATGTATGAGGTTTGGCGGCGCATTGTTTTTTTTGGACCCTAATTACTTTATGATGACTTGGACTCTTTATCTCAGCTCCATAGCCGTGAGGCTGGAAAAGAGCAGCATGTAATTAATGAGGGTGGGTTATATCATTGAGGATACACTTGAGGAGAGAATACTAATTACCGTACCTGTAGACGTAAGCGCGGGGTTGTGTTTTAGCTGGCCGTTCGATAATGGCCGCCAGGAGAAGTGAGCTTTGACTGCGTCATCTAAAATAAATAGTAAGATACAGCAGTGTTATTTTCACGAGTCTGTTGAATAAACTCGCAGCGCTACGGTCAATGTATCTTCTACTTGATCCTTGATACATCATTTTGGCATTCACAATATATAGTATTTCAACGTACAAAGGAGCACTGATCTAAAGCAATTCCGCGGGAGTAGTTGTTACCTGTGCATCACTGTATTTTCCCAGTGAGTACCCGGATGATATAGCAGAAATCTAGACTTGTTCGCGACCTGTGCTCGCCATTCGTAAGCGCATTTTTATTGATAGTAGAAGGACGTATGGTCACATTGATCAACAAAAATGAAATACAGTTTTGGAAATGTAGGTACATTTGTGGGGAGCATCGGTAATGGTGATGCAGTTTTTGTAAGTCACTTGCTTGGTAATTGTGCGATCTTTGTGTACACTATTTTGACTTGCAACACTAAGTAAATATTTTATCTGAACATTGCTTATTTTACCGTGTGTATATGTTTACATTCAAAATGTAAACATATTTCACTAAGTAAATTTATTAAACGCCTAAATATTCAGTTTATTTTACAAATTAACTGAAAAATA